TTCACAAGTATGATATTCGTTCAGAAGTTTCCAATAACTTTGAGTAATAAATAATATTATTCAACTAAGTACAGCGTAAAGTCTATATAATGACACTAAAGGGATTGTACATTTTATGGCATTATAGAGAGTTGTAGTTAAATTTAAAGAAGAAAAATCAGAATTATGAAAAGGAAAAGTTTATTTCAAGCTAGTTGTTATGTACATAAAAAAATAATCTTATTTGAACGCTATTGCGTATATCTGTTATTTTTCTCTGACGTCTTTTGCTGCACCAGTAATTTTGTTTACATATTTTTTTTGTCATGGTCAACAACTGTCTACACGTGCAATCTCAATTTGTAAACAAAAGAAAGAATTTCTTAGAAAGTTTGGTTTGCATGATGCCGGCAGTCGAGTTTATTACGGGCTAGGATACTAAAGCGACAAAAGAACGTACACAGCTGCGTTATTTTCACTAATTTTGGCAACTTAAAAGGTACTTTTTATTACTTAATTGTTGTCGTTATTGAGAGTGGGTGTAATGCTATATGGAGTGTATCATTGTTTAGAAAACAAAGTAAACCAACCAAAGACGAGTGATTTCGACGCTTTAGGAATTTTGTCGTTAAATCGAGTGACGTTACATGGAGTTTACACTGTATATGCTATCCATTACATGAAATGATATCCACAATAGTAATAAACATAAATAAAACCAATTATTTGCATTAAGAATGTTATTTCATAATTAAATGTCATTATTTGCAGTTCAACACTATGGTTTCTGAACGTAACGTACAGATATTGCCATTGAGAAATTTCTACTATGCTTAACAGATGTGTTACTATTCGCAGGCAGTACAATGATTATTGGTAGGGTGAATGTATAACTTTACATAGGGTTTATTCGTTGGGTAACTATTCATTAGTTAAACAACTGTTTACACAGTTTTTATTAGTAAGGCTGTTATAATATTAGAAGGATATAATTTTAGAAGTGAAAACTTCTTTAGCGGCGTTGTACACTTTTTTGTTATAGGTAAAAACTGTTAAACTCGCGTCAGGACACGTGTCCTGATCGCATCAGTCCTAATGTCCTGGTAAGGTCACGTGGACACGTGACCTAATCGAAAATTTTGTAAGATGAAAACAAAAAAATTGGTAAGGTTGTTGACTTTCAATATATTGAACGAAACATAGTAATATTTAATTTTATCGTATTACAATAATAAGTCTCTAATTTGGGCGTCCAGGTGGCAGCTTTATTGCGAAGAAAATGCATTTTTTTACAATATATGTAGCTAGGTGCGCTTAAATGTGATTCATGTAAGTTGATTTTCCTGAGAGATAAACTTTTTAATGTAATGTAAATTGTCATGTTTATGTACGATAGCGCAATAAATAAATATTGTATTGTACCACATAAATGATAGTACATTTATACTGATAATTAAAGCAATTCGTGCAAAATTACCATTCCAAAATAGCAAAAATGCACAATGTTAATATTCAAGTTTTCACTTCTGCCGGCACTCCCGGAGTGCATCCCGTCGTTTTTTTTTCCTTAATAACCATGGCACATCATATCACACTCGGTATGTGATATTTGCCCCTTCAAAATTCGGAAGAATGTTTGTCTTTCTAGTTTTCTTCAAATATATACGTTTTGCAAAAAACAGTAGTGACAAACTAACCATATAAGCATCTGCAGTCCGTCCGTTATGTTAGCCAGCGTGAACCGTGATAGGTAGACAGTTAAAACTTTTACGGAAAGTGTACCTATTGCCGTTATAATGATAAATAATTAAAAGATATATAAATTTGACAATTAGGGAACCCGTATGCGGAAGCCCGATTCACACTGGCACTGTGTTTTCGTATAGTTTTACTTAACGCTGCGGCGCAAAGATCCAAAATGGACCTTGGCCTCTGACACAAGATGGCGCCATGCTCTGCGATTCAGTGCTACATCCCGCTAGAAGTCGGCACCCAAACACTGCAAGTCCTTCTGCACCTCGTCGCTCTAGCGGTATCTGGGACGTCCAACTGGTCGTCGTCTAAATGCTCTTTTCACGACCCAATCATCTCCCATTCTTTCTACATGTCCGAGCCAGCCTAGTCTAGCCGATTTAATTTCTCCTATGATGTAAGGCTCGGACACTAGGTTTTCCAGCTCAAGATTCGTCTGTACTCTCCAGCTGCCATCACCTCTTAGAGCCGGTTTAGTACGGCTTTACCTAATTAAATTGAGAAGGTATTAAAATCACTATCGCCAGATATAGAAATCTAAGACGTCATCTAGGAATAAATCAGTAACTTAAAAGGAAAGTCTGGAATATATAGTATTCAATAAATATAAATTAAAAGATGCATATGAAGGAAAATATTAAATTTTTACTGATGCAAGAAGTGGTGCAAAATTATTCCCCTTTAGTTAAAATTGCAAACCACCGCCATATTTCCTTTGTGTAATTGTCGGGATTAAATATTAAAGATGGTTCCTATTTTATATTTATTATACGGATTGTTCAAAGAAAGATGTTTACGGCAAAGCGGCGATGACAAATTGCGTTATTGACTTGAATGTTGAGGGGAAATGTTGGGAAACACAAAAGAATATTATTGTTTCAAAAGTCTTTTTATATATCTCGGAATCAACGAAGTTATGGAATATAGTAAGACTTTAATACAGTTTTGTTACGACACTTATTCTAATAGTACCTGTAAGCTCGTTGAGTTTAATAAATTACACTTGTTCTTTATTAATACTGTTTTTATTTTTCCACATTACATTAACCAAGCGAATGTCGACCGTCCTTTAAAAGGACGCTGTCAAAAAAAGCCTGTGTGTCATCTTAATACCGCGCCAGTTTAGAGATTAGTTTAGCTTGATTAAATTATTCTCATCTCTTTCAAACTTTACTAAAGTGTAGGAAGAAAAACAAGGATGGCATACTTACATAATTATAAATGTAAGTATGCCATCTTTGTTTTTCTCCCGCCAAGTGATATAAATAAATAAATATAAATATTTCCAACACTTACAACAATTAGCCAATCCCCAAAATAAGCACTGTAAGGCTTGTGTTATGGGATGCTAGGGTAACGGATAGAATAGACATACTGTACATATATAAGTATATTTATATAGAAATACATATTAAACATCAATGGAGTACAAATGCTCGTATTCATCACCCAAACATCTGCCTCCACCGGGATTCGAACCCAGGACCTCTCGAGACGGCGCCACCATGAAACCCGGCGTACAAACCACTCGGCCACGGAGCTCGTCAAATATATGACCTCCAATCTACACTGAGCGCGCCTTTTGTTTGCCTTCATTCAGACTGAATATTACGATTAAAAAAATGTATGAGGTAGTGTATATTTTTCATTGCTTTTTGTTAAATATATTATCCTGCGATAAACAACCCAAATATAACTTCTTTCAAAGCCTTTTAGTCCTAATTATAAGAATTTTGATTCAGAAAACTGGAAGACAAATCACTTGTCCTAAGTTCACCTTCGAATTAGTAACTAAATTTACAATAAAACTATACTCGATTATACATAATCTGATAGCTTATGTAATTAATTATGTGCCAAGTAAATGCCAGTAATATAAGGTTTATACATAGTGTTCATAGAGAAATTTGTAGATATCATAATTTAATGATTTTAAGTTTATTAATATGTGTATAAATATGTCTCTCCAAAACCTTAATCATTGTTGGTTCAAAATAATTATTTAATATTTCAATGCATTTGTCGTTATTTGTGCTTCCTTTAGCAGGTTGCTCCTGTATCGTCTGATAAATATCTTGTACCTTGGGACCCGCCTAATGTATTTATGCTTTCCATCTTTCTCCTTTGGTGGAGCCATTCGAAAACGGATCAAAATGGTGCCCACACGCATCGGGTGAATAATCTTGTTCCACCTTGAAATATACGTATTCAATATATATTTCGACTTACGCGTATTTCGCTTTTAGTCGCCATAAATTGTACAGTTCGTTGAGTTTAATGAAATGCACTTGTTCAATAATAATACTGTTTTTCCCCCCATTACATTAAGCGATACAAAAAGAATCCAATCAAACGTCAAAGAGAAAAAGCTCAAATGTCACTTTTCATAAAGGCGCCAACCGTGCATTAAGGAATGCTACAATTGTACAGTACCTTTATCGATTTTATCTTGACGGAAACTTATTATTTATAAAACTAGCTTTGCCCCGCGGTGTCACCCGCGGTTTGTTAGGGATATTTTCATTTTTTTATAAAGGTAGCCTATGTGCTGATCCAAGCTGTCAGATATCTCCATACCAAATTTTATTAAAATCGATCAAGCCGTTTAGACGTGAAGAAGTAACAAACATACTCACTTACACACTCACAAACTTTCGCCTTTATAATATTAGTGTGATTCTTGTGTCACAATGTTAGTTACCATACTCCTCCGAAACGGCTTGAGCGATTTTTATGAAATTTTATATACATATTCAGTAGGTCTGAGAATCGTCTATTACCTATTTTTCATACTCTTAAGTGATAAGTATTGTTCACCCCTAACATTATTTTTTATATTTTGGTCTTTTTTTATATTGTGTCATTCAAATATACATACAACCTTAAATTTTCACCCTCTACCGCCAACCCCTAATCTTGTGGTGGTACGAAGCTCGCTGGGTCAGCTAGTAATATTTATAATATAAAAGTTGGCGTGTTTGTTACTCAATCACGCAAAAACAACTGTACGGATTTTGTAGAAATTTGGTACGCATATAGTTTATAGCCTGGATTGAGACAAATAATACTTTTTTTCTCGAATAAATGGTTTTGTTAGTACACTTATTCTCAAAAAACTAATGTTTACGCGTATGAAGTTGCGGGCGGCCGCTAGTATAAAAATTATTATATGCTATCACTATCAAGGAGTAACATTAATGTTGCCAAGTTAAATGTACTGTAAAATAAGTAAAACTGACGAATGTGAACAATAGTTCTCTTTTTCACAGACGCAGATTACACAAAGTTTTGAGACGGCGAATGCACGATGTCTTTGAAATGATGTCAATTCAATATGGATATTATCATTCGAAACAAAAGTGGAAAATGCGGGATATACATATTGTTGATTGCTATCCATATTCCGATACTGCAAGGAGAAGAACAATCAGTTTGTCCAACATTAGCAGAAAACCCAATTTGCCCCTGCTATAACTTCAAAGAAGGCAAGTATTATTTTTTTTACAAATAACAGCATCAAAAATATATTACAGTTTTCTTATACAATCACGTTATTTTCAGGGTTATTTTTAGAGTGCCCGAGTGCTACCCCAGGAGTTGTGAAAAATGTGTTGACAAAAATCAAGGGATCTATACAATCGTTATCAATTTATGATCTCGAAAGTTCAACAACAGAACTCAAGGCAGACCTCTTTCCATCCAACATAAAAATAGCAAATTTGCAAATTTCCCAGTCAAATATAAATAAAATCAATCCAAATGCATTTGCGTCATTACGTGAATCTTTGAGCTCCTTAAGCATTATTTCCAGTAAATTAAGTAGGATCCCATATGAATCATTTTTTGAACTTCATAATATAGAAGCACTCGACTTGCAACTCAATGATATCAAAGATATTCAAGCTAATACTTTCAGAAGTCTCAAATTAAGAAAATTAAATCTAAAGGGAAACAAAATTGTAAATATCTCTGATAATGCATTTAAAAATTTAGACGATTCGTTGACTGAGTTAGATATTACGGAAAACTTTCTGAGTATTTTCCCTTTACAGGCTTTAGTTAATTTGAAACAATTAAACAACTTGAGATTAGCTTGGAATAAAATTGATTCAATACCAGACAAAACAAATAGAACAATTGAAAATTTGGTAACATTAGATTTAAGTTCTAATTCGTTTACGGAAATAAGGGAAAATTGGTTTAGGTGCATACCAAGGATTAAAACCTTGACATTTTTTAGTAATCGTATAAAAAGTATAGATGAAAAAGCATTTTATTCATTACATGATTTAGAAACTATTGATTTGAGTCGAAATAAAATTATTAATATAGACAAAAATTTATTTCAAAAGAATCATAAGATTCGGACTATAGATTTAAGTCACAATCACCTACATTACATCAAAGGTGTATTTTCAAATCTAGTTCACCTTTCCGAAATATTTTTGTCGGAAAATAATATTCTCGAGATTCCAGAAGATGCATTTAGCAACGCGGTTGCACTTACTGTCCTGAATTTGGAGCATAATGCAATACAAAGATTGCATTCGAATTGTTTTTCTTCGTTGCGAAATTTAACTCAACTACATATGGGAACAAACTTTTTGAAGACACTTCCTACAAATATTTTCCACTCCAATTATAAACTAGTCACGTTAAGCTTAGATAATAATGAAATAACCGAATTAGACGAATTCACATTTGATAAACTCGGCGAACTTAGGGAGCTACGTTTACAAAATAATAAATTGAATCATATTAAAAGGAATGTTTTTAGTCCTTTGCCGGGCTTATTAGAACTGCATTTACAGAATAATATTATTCAGAGCATAGATTCTCACGCATTTATAACGCTTAAAAGTCTTCAACATATTAATTTGCAGGGTAATCGTTTATCTACTATCGGGGATGTGTTTCCAAACAGAAACTCTTCACTTGTGTCGATACAATTAAGCTCTAACTTTTTGTCTTTATTAAAAAACAGTTCCCTAAGAGGACAAGTGAATGTGCAAATAATGTGGCTCAGCCAAAACAATATTAAAGTTTTAACTCTGAACTTATTTAATGATCTTTTAAATATTCAAAGGTTGTATTTAAAAAATAATACAATTGTGCATATAGAAAATAAGACGTTCATGCACTTAAGACGATTAAAATATTTAGATTTAAGTAATAATAAGCTTATAAAATTAGGTAATGAAACTTTTTACAAACTTGTAACGTTAGAGGAACTTTACTTACAATGCAATAATATAAACCAAATCGCTAAGGACACCTTCAATTTTTTAATAAAATTAAAAGTTTTAGATTTATCGCAAAATGAAATAATCGTTTTAGATTTTGACATCTCTTCGCTTCCAATTAAACAACTTCGGCTAAATAAAAATTCTTTGTCGATCATCGAAGCAGACTCACTCAAGAACCTACCAAATTTAAATGACTTAGACATGAATAATAATTTGTTAACTTGGGAAGACGTTACTCAAGTTCAAATACCAGGATTGAAATCTCTAGCATTATCTAAAAACAACTTTTCTGTACTAGAAAATAAAACTTTTTCTCATTTACCTTCATTACAAGCGCTTTCATTGGAATTTTCTAACATATCTCACCTACCACCTGCAACATTTATTAAAAACCAAAACCTTTTACGTATCAATTTAGCATTTAATAATTTAAAAGATATACACAAAGATGTGTTTGCCTATACAACAATCCTGCAAGAATTAAATTTGAAAGGGAATAATTTTACAGAATTTCCACATGTAGCTTTATTTAACATTACATCGCTAGAAATATTAGATTTATGCCACAATCAATTGCAAAACGTTGACTTTTTCAAATTCATTGGTTTGCAAAATTTAAGAACATTAAATTTATGTGACAATCGCATTTCAGTTCTTAACGGCTTCAACTCTCCTGCTTTAAAGAATCTCGTTTCATTGAATTTAAGTAAAAATATACTTACAGTTCTTCCACCGAATTTTTTTCAACACTCTTTAGGCTTAAAAGATATAGACTTATCGCATAATGTTTTTAAATTTATACCCAGTAATGGTTTATCAGAGGCGATATTACCAACATTAACAACGTTAAACATGTCATTTAATACAATGACACAATTACTGCAAAGTTATCCTTCTAAACAATTTCCACAATTAGAAGAACTAGTCGTTACTGGGACAAATCTTACGATAATCACAAGTAGAGATTTTGAGAATTTCCCATCCCTCAAAAGGTTGATATTGACTAGAAACTCAATCGTACGTCTGTCGCCTGGTGCATTTTCAAAGCTGCACAATTTACACATACTGGATTTAAGCCAAAACCAAATGGAAAACATTCCAAGAGAGAGACTCCAAGGATTATACTCGACACGTTTGTTGAATATATCTCAGAATATCATTAGAGAACTCGAAGAATTCACATCCGATTTGCAAAGTTTGCAAAAGTTAGATCTCTCTTTCAATCATATAACGAGAATAAACAAGGACATATTCCGGGGACTACAAAGTCTTACTGAGTTATATTTACGTGGTAACTGGCTGTCGGCGATATCATCAGACGCATTCCAAAGCTTGAATAAAATTTCCTTCATAGATCTCAGCCACAACTATTTCGAAGTAATTCAGATGAAAATGCTTTTGCTTCTGGAAACACAAATTAAGACTTTGTCATTTGACGGTACGTTCATGAGACATTGTCATTCATGCTTATTTGAATCTTTTGATTTTATATTAATAAGAAAATTATGTTTCAGAGAACCCACTCACTTGCAACTGTGAGTCGCAAACTGTATGGAAATGGATGCAGGATCACTACAAAATAGTCTTGAAGCGCAGCATCAATTTGCGTTGTGAGCACCCAGAAGATCTTCACGGTTATAGTTTCATCTTATTGTCGTCGCAGAAACTCTGCGATGTGCCTCTTGTAAACCGCATCGCCATACAAGATATCCAAACATATTCTGTAGTCGTCTCTTGGCAGGGTCGCAACCAAAGTGGATTAAGCGGATATCAAGTGGCTTACTTCAGTGAACAAAACCCAAGCATCGTAAGTTTCACATTACGTACATCATTATTCTTCATTTTATTTTAATGATGATGGGCTTGAATTCAGAGTATTACTCCCCTTGAGTAATTTTTACACGCCTTCGTAAAATTTATCTTTTAATGTTTGGGTAAACTTATATAATAAAACGGGCTCAGCTTCCATTACAACAAACATTTGAATACAAAGGCTGTGCATCACTTCAATGGACCATAAAAAATATTTATGTTTCTTTTCCGTGGATATTCGGCTGTGCATTCATAGAAAATCCCTTTAAATCATATTAAACAAAATTCGTTTATACAACTCTTCCACAATCCGTTTTAAAAATAAAGAGAAATTAATTACCTTATTTAAATCCTGAACAGCTCTTAAAATTGTTACTGTTCTGATTTATTTCATTTATTACAATCATGAAAATGAAAATTAATCTGTTTATAAATTGCTTGTTAAATTTTCGTCAAATTATTTTGATTTTGGGTAACATTTTTGAAATAGGGATACAATAAATCTGTCTAATTAATTTGTTTTCCCTTTGTTTAGTTAAATATTCCATACAACTGTAATAAATAAGACAAAAATTAATTGGAAAAATGATTCAACTAATTACCTAAATTAAGGCAGGCAGCGGACGGAACTCGAACCCGCACCCTTTGATTTTCGGGAGAATGCAGTGACCATTATGCTACCGCCCTGACGGCCGTGTCGAATTTTTCTCTAGCTTTAGGCTGCAAGGCAGCGCCATCAATTCATATTGTAGGTAACCTAAAAGGTAGGTAGGTAAAATAAATTTATTCTTTATCAAAGTACAGTTAAAGTCATGCCACAAAGGCGCTGTGGATTAACTTTTTTATGAAGTTCAGCAGCCATATACAATGGAAAACCAACAGATTGCTTTGGGGATTAGTGTAAAGAAATTAACAACTTAAGATTGGAGTTGTAGGACATTTATTTTATTTATATTCACATTTGTGTCGATTCTGGCGTGATTCTCTAAACTTAAAACTAAATTTATCATCAGTTTCACCTTATCATTCTGTATAGAGAATGACAAGAATACACTGTTGTCATGGAAAATGGGCAAAAATGTATGAAGCCTGGTACACGGCCCAATAGCCATAATATGTATATCATTGGAAAGTTATTTTTACAAGGACTAAGGATAACTAAGTCGCTTGTCTCCATTTGCTGTCAGAACGGAATTATTTAGTGTTAAGTGTTTTTTTTTGTTTTTGTTTGTTTTCTTAAAAGGTGGTATTATAGTAGGTAGGTGCTATAATGGTGGTATTATATCGTTTTCTTGAACAGAATTATGTGTCTATTGATAAAAATAGGCACTAAAATGAATAAAGATTCAGGAATTTAAATTCAAATAGAAAAGTGAGAAACGTTATTTATTATTTAATCATTATACATAATCACATCGTTGAGAAACGCTGCAGGAGCAGTGAAGCCTTCATGTCTGGCATATCCTAGATACCACATGATGGCAACTACATGAGCACAAATGCCGATTGTTCGTCGTCCGATCAAACATGTGCAGTAATAATTGCATAAAATGTTATGGATATTAGTTTGGTTTTCATTAACATTGTTTTTTACCAATATATAATAAATAAAAGTTTTTGATTGTACGTGACGCGACTGTATGTGTCCGCGTAAAAGCTTTTTGTTTATGCCATATTCAATTAAATCTTCGAGTGCGCTTTCTCTATATATTTCTAAAATGTATAATCCATTTGACAAATGCTCGTTGCAGTAGGATCGTTCTAGCTTTAGCTGGTAGGTGCCTAAAGAAAGTAAAATAATCTGTTCTTCAGTCAGTAGTGGGAAGTTCTGTATGTCTTGACTTTCTTTTCTTTGAAAATCCGCTCTTCGATTATTTAAACGTTTTCTTTCTACATAATCATAAAGTATATTTGGGGAATCTATTTTATCCCCGATTATGTTTAGGAAGGACTCTGCGTGAATGTTGTCATCGATGGGTATGAGGAAGTTATTTATCAAAGCTGCGGCGATTTTAAAATCAATAAACATAGTTATAATTTTTATTATTTTTAAAGCATGTAACTGCTTGATGTTTAAATCTAAAGAAAATATAACTAGAAAAAATTCCACGCGGACCAATAAACATTTTCGATAGGGTTTTATTGAAGTATTTTTGCCGCAAAAGCTTAAAATCTCTCTTGAACCTCCCGTTCACCACTTCCACTACCCACAGCATATTGTAATTGATCGAGCTTCATTACTTTACTTAGTAGTTAACTGCGTCTCCCATCTGTATTTAGTTGGTGGAACGTAGGTTTCATATACACATGCTTCGATAGCATCTAAGCTGTCCCGGAAGCCGCGATCTAATATAAGATAGCTGATATAGCAGTTCTACCTGCCGAACCAGCCATCCCCACCCTACCGGCCTGCATGTTGCTTCTTCACGCCTCTTTTAAAGGATCCCAGGTTGTAAGAGGGAGGGAACACGTGAGCGGGCAGAGAATTCCATTTACGGATAGTGCGACAAAGAAATGAGCTTTTAATCTGTAAACTAACATAGAAATTTGAATGTAACTCCTCTCTTCTATCTCTCATTTAGTTGCGTGCCCGACAGGGTCCATAATGATCGTATATTGTCATAACTTATATTTAACGTCTTTTTGTACATTGTGGATATGCAATAAACGAATTGAATTGAATTGAGTCACCAAATTTCTTTGTACGCGTTGGAATTGTGGCCATAGTTAGACGGTGACAACGTAGGCCAGCGCGCGTGGTCCTCTGAAAGAAAAAGGAAGAAGGAATAAGAGAGAAAACTCCTCAGAACACTCGCCAAAAACTCTAAAAACGATAGAACGCGCTTAGTGATGCCACGTCACGGCGTAATTGAAGAGGTTGGAGGTGTTAAGTTACCTTCTCATCGCCTATGATGCGGGTCGCGCGCCGCTGTAACCTATCCAAAGCATCGAGCAAATACTTGGCAGAGCCATCCCAGAGGTGCGAGCAATATTGCACGCAGGACCGCACTTGCATTTTATACAACAAGCACAGTTGATCGGGCGTGAAACAACGCCGCATCTTGTTCAGGACTCCGAATTTGCGTGAAGCTGTTTGTTCATGGTTTTGATGAAGTCCTTTGGATTCAGATGAACTTCCATACCAAGCATGGTAATGTTGCTCTATAGTGCCAGTGTTGTACCCTGAAGAGAGGGAAGGGGAAGGAATGGTGATGTTTTTGCCGTGAAAGCGCAAGCCTGAGTTTCTTGGCATTGAACCCAACCAAGTTCCTGGTACCCCATTCGGAAATGTGGTCCAAAGCCTAATTGAACTCAATGACAAGATTCTCCCGTTTCTCCTTGGTTACCGCCTGCCCAACCGCTGCTTGTCCGAGATACCCCGCATGCACTGTACTATCGTCTGCATAGCAATGAATATTCCCAAGAGGAATTAAGTCATTGATATACAGCAGAAAGAGAGTGGGGGTAGGTCGGAGCCCTGGGGAACGCCGGCATTCACTGACATGAATCGCGAACTGCTACCATCCGTAAGGACACGAATTCTACGCTCATGCAGGAAGCTACCCAAGATTAGAACTGGGCCGGCAGACCGTATGCCGGAAGCTTGGAGAGAAGGCTTTTGTGCCAGAACCTGTCGAATGCCTTGGCAATGTCTAGGCTGATAGCTAACGACTAGCCACGCTTGTCGATAGCCTCACCCCCAGACATGTGTCAAGTACGGCAGAAGATCACCCGTCGATCGTTTCGGTCTAAAACCATATTGACGACCATTAATCAGGAAGTGACCCTCTAGGTAGCGGGTCAGATGGTTGTTAAGAAGCTTTTCTAGAACTTTACATAATACTGGGGTGACTGCTATTGGCTGGTACTTTGCCGGGTCTGAGCGATCTCCTTTTTTGGGCACCGGTTGCACGTTAGCATCTGTTCAAGTACACTCGCCCCAAACTGCAGTTTCAGTACCACTGCAGGGACGCTATCGGGTCCACCAGCTTTCCGGACGTCGAGTAATTGCAATTCGGCACGAACCTCACGCTGCCTGATTTTAATATCAGGCATCGTTGTGCCACAATGAGGCTATGCTGGTGGCAGTGCATTGCAATCATCGATTTGGGAGTTGTCGCATCGGTCTTAGTGGCAGTACTTATGCAGGCTATAAGATAGCTAGATACGCTGGAAGTTCGAGCTTTTATATATATATATATATATATATCGCAAATCACGATAGCTATGTATGTATAATATATATATATATATATAAGCTATGTACCAGCTATCTTCACGTATGGACTTCACCATCACTTAACATCAGGTTGGGTGGAGTCATTTGTCGGACCTATCTATAAAAAAAGAAAGCTTTTTTGTTTTCTTCTTTACCAAATAACCCTCATGGTATAGTGAGATTCTTGTCTAAAACGTCGTTTCTATTGATATGGTCCATTCCCAAGTGTAATATAACATATTGATTCATGAGGCATTTGCGTACAATAGTTTATAAACGTTCTAGCTTTCTTCGTGACATATTAAATAACGTCGCTAGTCTCTCATCTGAATCTCCGGTACGTACTTTCGTCAGATATATGCCTAACGTAGTGCGAGGCTCTTTGCACCTCTCACTCAGTGAAGGTGTTTGTTGTAATATACAATGAAACTGTTCGCAGTTGCGTCCTATCCAAAAGTACATAATTATCCTCGTTGCTTAAAGCACCTCTCGTGTTGAAATCTAACCTAGGTCCACGATTTAAAGCCATTCTCATCATGTCACAAACATCGAAAAAAATACTAAACACTTCCAATTGCGATACCCTACACTACAGGGTCCATAATGCACTTTTTATCTGTTAATATTACCTACCACCTTTGTATCTCCATTATGGTCTGCAATAAATGAATTGAAATGAATTAAATCACTAAACTGTTGTGCGTTGAAGTTATGTGTGACATTCAGAATTGAGGCAGCTCTTCCCAAGCATTGCTCTCAAGGTGTTATCCACATACTGTAGCGCCATTAAGTATATAAAATTTATATTCACACAAAATGTGAAATTTAATCGTCATTGGTATTCGATGGCGGGTTGCGTTTAGGTACTTGTTAAAGATACAATGCATTGGAGTATATGGAGCTCGAGTGTAGTCAGGAACCTGAAGCTCTCATACGTTCTGCTCTACTTCTGGTATGACAGGTGGTCTTCCTACAACGGTGTCAACTTTTGCCAACATCGATGACACACACGTCGTGTGTTGTTGAACTCCACCTGACAATAAAATACGATCTTGTTCATATTTATAATAATTATTGTTTTAAAACATTTAAAACAATGCGGTCTGTAGGTAGGTATAATGATTGTGTTTTGGACAACTGATAGAATACATAATGTATACTTTGTAAATACATACATATAATATATAGAAACAACCAGACTCAAAACAAACACAAATGTTTGAAAATATAAATGTTTGTCTTCTGTGGGGATCGAACCCTCGCCCCTTGACACAGCAGACGGGGTCACTAACCACTGCGCCAATCGGGTGGTCAAAGGCTTAGTGAATAGATAACTATAGGTGATATTAAGAACTATAAACGTGCGAACCGAGTCATAAAAGGATCTAAGGATTTTGAGAAAGCTGCAAAAGTCATAGAAGGATGCCGTTGTGTTCTTTTTTCCATTAAGTGAACAATCCTTAGCCGCGGATCATATACCCGCGCTACATAGAAAATAAATACGTGCAGTTGGTAGTTAATACTAGGGCAGTTCCACAAGACCTCTAAGTGCGAGCAAGAGGTACGACTAAAAATTATTTATGGCTCAGTTCGCATGTTTATAATGGCTCAAGTATAAAAATATAACAGACACTAATAATATAAACCAACTGCTTCTAAAAAACTGAAGCTGGTGAAGTGCGTTATAGTTTAACGATGTACTAACTTACAAAATGGCGTGTTCTCGTATATATGCCATAAACCCGGGGCGCATTCTTGTAAGATAATCACTTAAAATATGCTGTAGGTATATAGCACGATGTAGGCCACGCCGACACATCACACAGTTGCGATGTTCTTCCATAACGATGTTCCAAATCGATAAGCACAACAACAGTCCACAACAGTAGCCAAGATAAACGTTTATAGCGGGTAACAATGTCCAAAAGGTGCGCCGGGGTCAGTGGTGAAAACGGTATAAGAAAGTACTAGGTAGAATAAACAGCTGCGGTACGTCTTCACATGCAAAGAACGATACAAACGACTGATAAATTACATGGCACAGTCTTAGATTAAAACAAAAAGGGCACAGTGCGGCTGTCCACTGGCACTGCGCGCGCGCACCGCACACCTCACCCCGCGGCCACGCACCCGCGCACCGCTCAAACCACCCCGCGGCTGCTGCTGAAGTCTACAGTCATTGCAGTCACAAAAAACAGAAATCTTTTAAGTAAATATGTACTACTATTTTATGTAAAAGTAAATATATTTTTAAAAGTTATCACCATTATTAACACAAGACATTTATCGTTTTAAGTAATGTGGTTTTACATTGTTATTTTTCGTGTTTTCAATCATAGGTACTTACGTAATATTACCGTATTTTTGCAATTATGATGTCAACTAAAACTGGAACATTGGGGGCTTCCCGTGGTTTTCGGACAAGGATTTGGGACAAGTCGCCATAGTAAATATTTTTCCAGATTATAAGACATATCCAATGACACCACATTGATTTCTATTGGTGCGTGTACCAAATGCCCATTCTCCTTTAAGTGTAGGTTTAGACAATCATGCCGGAATCGACATCAATATAGCAATTTAATTAGGATAAGCGATACATATAAATTAAACACAGGTAACGATGACAGGTGCGAAAGATGCTTAAGTTCAACGATCGCAACCGAACGTGCTAACCACTTGCGCCATCGAGCTCCTTGCGCCATCGAGCTCCTTGGGCCATCGAGCTCCTTAAGAAATACGACAGCTAAATTGAGAAAGTTATAAAATAATTTTCCCGTTGTACCGAATGCATCATTAATGGTGCAAATGAAACTGGTTTCGTTTGCACTATTGATATTAATACTATTACTTCACCATACTTTCCTTGTCATAGGTAAAATAAATAATAAAACAATAAAATATTATTGCTTAGTTTGAGTATCCTATACTAAAACTACACTCTCTTGTATTTTATATTATTTATATACTAGCAAACCAGTGAACCAAATGTTCACCAAAAAAAAATGTATTTAATTAATTGAGAACTTCGGAGATTTTGTGTGGTTTCGTTTGAAATAGAAATCACGTGATTTCTCGAAAACCGGAAGTGCTACGTTACTCACATCCGGTTTGTGGTCTTATCAGACTATTCTCAACTTATATCTTAAACATTCTCTATATCTATCTCTTACGGTTTGGCCGCTGAAACAGCACCACGGACGGACGGACTTGTCTATTAGATAAGAGATTTTTAAATACATTTAACAAAGAAATAATTACGAATTTTTATCAATGCCGAAAAAATAATTAGTGAAGGTACTTAATTTCAATAAAAATAACGACTTCAAAAAGACTGAAAATTAAAATACAAGATTTACCGACTCATATAAAGTCGACCTTTGTTTGCGTGTGTTACTACAAATCTTACTACCAGTAGTTACACCGTTAACTTTTATTGCCCTTACTACTTCAGTTCGTGTGGTAAGAAGAAAAAAATATAAATAAAGGAAAATGTACCAGGAGACCATACATAACTAAAAGGTTCTGGTTATGAATAATGTTTTTTATATAAAAAATTAAAATGTGACCATAGTTGTTATAACATTAATTTTGAATTAAGGTATACAAAAAAAACAAAAAAATACAAATATGTATAGCATGTCTCTGTGGTTCATATGACCAATCAGTTTCATTTGCACCATTAGTGGTGCAAGTCGATGGTGCATTCGGTACAACAGGTTAAGATCCATGATGGGTCCTAAAGCAAGTAATCCGCTCTGCTCTACCATTTTTAAGTACACTATCTTGTTACAGATACGAGGAAAAGCATTGAACCCTAGCATCAGATCTGCAAGGCTTAACCACCTGACACCTGGTTCTCGATACACCGTATGCGTATTGGCAGTCGGCAATTTCGGAACCCCTACATCTTCGGGATCATCATTGCCAGATGCAAGAATAGCTCCTTATCCAGAAATACCAACTAATAGTATATTCGGAGATGAACTAATTTTTAACCACCTACGACCATATATGAATGATTCGCTTACTAGTAAATGTACTAGTGTTAGTACAATAGAAATATTTAGCGCTGCTATAGACAGTCCATTTTCGAACACCTACAAGGGTATAGCTGATATGTTGACAAGAAGATTGAGCTTGGTTGTAGGTTGTTGTATCGGATTTATAGTGTTCGTCGTCCTAGTGTCCGCATTGGGCTATATTAAAACCAAGAAGCGTCCTGTAATAGCAAAAGCAGATGTACAACAAGTTCCCCAATATATCTCGTATGACAATTTTAACACACCCGGTATAGAAGTTCAAACTACTGACATGGATATAAATACTATTACTGATAAAACAAAATCTCAACCGAATCGTGAGTGAGCAATCATACAAGCGTGTGAGTCGCATCAACTTTTAAGTCGCATCAAAATGTATGCAAACGTTAAGGTGGCATCGGGGTTTTATCCGATTCGATTCCCTTAAGGATAGCATGCCACTCACGTTGGGAGAAAACCTTTTATGGTTTCATCGTCTTTGAAACTTCTTCTGGAGTTTGACAGACAGGAATGAGTTATTATAACTACGAGCTATCAATAACGAAACGTGTGATATAATCGAAAAAGTTTACGTCAAACCATTTCTCTGTAAGAGATAGGTTTTGCATCATCACAATTATTATTACTCTGTGCATTTGTAAATAATGGAGAAATGTAGAAGTTTTGTGAAATAATTGTTTGGGCTGTTTTGTAGCAATATTTTAATTCATTTCTAGGTTTAAAAAACCTTGAAACAGAAAAACACTATGTAAGAAAATGTACAGGAGTTGAGAATGTTGTAATTATATTTTTTGTTATTGATGACGTTGTCTCACTATATTACATAGATTTATATTTCATGATGTTTTAAACCTTTACGTTTTCTATGAAAAATATTTAATGTCATTTAATAAAAAAAAAATATATTTAAAGTGATCATAGATATATTCGGTTATACTTATTTGAAACGTACTGACTTCGTAGGTAATAATGTATAAAATAGGTATTGATTTTGTATTTGAAATATACCAAACGAATGTTTATACTTTGGATCAACATTATGTAAACTACTATAGATGTAGGTTGAAATAATAATAACTTTAACAAAAATATCAAACTCATTTAGATTTATAATCGTACGTACTTTAAGTTGAAATAAGTTCGGATTCACGACAATCTGTTTATAACTAGATTAAATAATGTAGTATTGGTAATAAAAACATAAAGTCTTACAATGCCTAAAACATTTTGTTTTTTTAGATTTAAAAAAATACTCCTTTTTCTAACTTTTAGTATGCCTGTGCTGGCGTGAAATAATAATAAGTCTTCGTTACGTTGACACACTCTCTGTACGTGATAAACAACGAAAGGGGTTTTATTTTATGCAATGAAACGATTGCAGTTTTGGAAATCTGGAAGATACCTATATTTAGAGGTATAGAAGGTGAAATCGCATTATCATTTACCAAATACTGATTAAGTAACCGTATCTTTGTATCTCTGTATCTTTACCATCCGCTCCTTTTTTAGTTATATGTTTCGAAAATACGAGACGCATTTACGGTATCTTTTTCGTGTAAATCACAAAAAAGTCATAATAATCATTAAATTCAAAAACACGTCCATTTGGCGTTATTAACGGATCTACTGCAAGTGTTTAATAAATATAGCGCTGACAGTTACACGATTAAATTAGTCTACGACCAGTTTTTTTTTTATAAATAACATATCCAACAGCTACCTGATAATAAATAACATATTCAAAAGCTATCTGATGATAAATAACATTGCCTAATGATACCTGCGCAACGAAGACTTTGATACTAAATAGAATTATCGCTCTCGTGTCCATAGAAGCTAGACGATAATTTGGCCTAGAAGGGGTTGTGCGAGATGATAATTTTGTATATGCAGCTGAAGGAGCGAACCTAATTCAAATTTCCAACACATTTTGGCGCATTTGAGTCTCAAAGCCTCGTCACGCAGGTGTGGGAGAAGCATAAGAGTAAATTCACTACAGTTCTCCAATCACGAGTACCTACTATAATAAAGATAAAGCGTTCCTTCAGAAAAGTTTTATAATATGAAGCTTACTAGATAGTTCACTGGTACAAGATTTATTTTTTTATCGTAAGTCTTTAACTGGATACATTGAATTTCAGAAGTTTCCCTATAAATAACATCTCCAGTGATAAAATAATATATAAAATATTTTCTCGCAGAGAAATGTTTTATCTTAGTAGTGGTGTCAATTTCAAAGAAGAAGAATATTTTTATCTAGACTTTGCCGTAACATTTTCGGAAGTGGCATAATAACTTGTAGTCCAAATATTAGTTTGACAGGTTATAAAAATCACAAACAAATAGTTTTCCGTGGAACTTATGAAGTGATTTAATGCTTGTTATGATACCTCAGGAGCGTTTTAAAGGGCAACTGTAATATTTAAGAAGGTACTGTTTATATTCCGAGATTAATAACCTATACTCTCAGCGCGTGTATTTAGAGGTAGGTCACAAAAATCTTGGCAGTTCTCGATAGTTCTTTTCGCGAACACTTTCACCGTAGAAATAACAGAAAACCAGAATTTTGTGACGGCGCGCGATGGCTCTAAAATAAACTTCAAAACAATTTTCAGTTTCATATTGGCTCATAGTTAGGAGCTCATATAGGATCATAGTTACGATGCCCGACGACAGATCCAAAATTTAATTACTATAATTATTATGATATATCTACTCTTTAAAATATTAGCCATCATAATTTTAAGTCATTAGTTTTATCTCCGTCCATACACAAGGCTAGAACAGAAGGTATAAAATAGCGAGATTTAAAATTCAAAATTCAATATCATTTATTCAGTCTAGGCTGTTACAAGCACTTGTGAATGTCGAAAAGCTACGCCATCGGTTCGCAAATCTACGGCGGGAGACCTTGTACTGAGAAGAACCGGCAAGAAACTCAGCAAGGGCTGTTTTTTTCTCCCTGTATTATATACAGAGTCGTCAATTTGAAAAATGAGTTCAATATGAGATAACCCATGAAGTCACTTTCCATTACAAATGTAAATGATAAAACAATTATGACTATAAAATAAAAAATATAAAAAACAGATTTAAAAATGAAAAAAAGTTTAGGAATGCCGTGTCCCACTGTTTAGGCATAAAAACAAATGTACCATTAAAGTTAAATACAACGATTAATAGTACCCAATGTAGCAAGAGCAGACTCATCTCCGCTGGCAGCACTCGTTCACGAGCATGACGCATGAACCAGCCATCGCTTCGCTCAACCATTTTTTAGGGAACGTAACGACCCGCCTCACACGACACCGCCGAAGAGATTTTTAAGAGAGTATGACTACCCATAACCACATATGGATACTAGATAGCAAAATAGGGGGAAAAAAAAAATTAAGTACCAGTGTACATTACTATAAAAAACTATAAACACAACTGTAGGACACATACATGTGGTTACCTAAACACTAGTGTCGACTCTGCCACTACCCTCCAAACCCAAAACCAAACCCAACATCAGTGCCCCCCCTTCACTCTGTATAGAGAATGATAAGGATACACCGCTGCAAAACCAAAGTTCAGATCTAGAGAACCATGCCAGAATCCACACCACCATTAAATCTTTATCTCAGAAATAATAAATGTTCACCTAAATTCCTTGTTTCTGATTGCCGTGCCATACAGTATAAATACAATTACAAATAAAATTTAACTTAAATAATTAATTATCATTATAATAATAATAAAGTAGTATAGAGCAGACTCATCTCCGCTGGCAGCACCCGTTCACGAGCATGACGCATGAACCAGCCATCGTTTCGCTCAACCATATTGTAGGGAACGCAACGACCCGCCTCACACGACACCGCCGAAGAGATTTTTAAGAGAGCATGACTACCCATAACCACTCAAACCAAGCAAAATAGTTACTTAGAATTCAGGTAATTTATCTGTACGACACTGCAAACAAACACAAAACAAATTTACAGTTACAGCCATGCAGTTTTGTCATTTAAGTATTCTTTAATAGTATAATAGCCTTTCTTATGTAAACAATTTTTAATGTGACACTTGAACTCATTTATGGGTAACTCAAGAATGGCATCAGGAATTTTATTATAAAAATGTATACCTTGACCCATAAAAGATCGGTAAACCTTCTATAACCTGTAGGGTGGCAATGCAAGCTTATTTCTATTCCTTGTGTTAAAATTATGCACGTTACTGTTTTTGGTATACAAATTGATATTATTTTTAACGAGGAGTATACAATTGTAAATGAATTGAGAAGCAACAGTCAAAATGCCGATTTCTTTAAATTTTTCTCTAAGAGATGTTCGGCTACTCAATTGATAAATAGATCTCACAGCTCTTTTTTGTAGAATGAATATACTTTCAATATCAGCTGCTGTTCCCCAGAGTATAATGCCGTATGATAAGATACTATGAAAGTAACTAAAATATACAGTCCTGGCAGTTTCTGTATCAGTAAGTTGTCTTATCTTTCTTATGGCATAAGCTGCTGAACTAAGTTTACCAGCCAAAAGCGTAATGTGATGATTCCATTGCAGTTTTGAGTCTATAGTTATACCCAAGAATGTAGTTGAGTCTACTAAATCTAATTTATTATTATTTAATTTAATTTCAATATGTTCGACTTTTACATTAGGTAAAGAAAATTTAATACACTTGGTTTTATTAGCATTTAGCTTTAGATTATTAACATTAAACCATTGCAAAACTTGCGAGAGAGCATTATTAACATCGTCATAGTTGTTCTTGCGCCTGTCAACGTTAAATAATAAAGATGTGTCATCAGAAAATAATACTATCTCACACAAATTTTCTACAAAAAATGGCAAATCATTTATATATACTAGAAACAGAAAGGGACCCAAAATTGAACCCTGGGGAACGCCCATTTCCACATGAGATCCAGATGATCTAACACCATTTACCTCTACAGTTTGAATTCTGGAACTGAGATACGACTGTATTAATTTATATGCAGTACCTTTGACTCCATAATGACTTAATTTCAATAACAGCGTGTGATGATCAACGCAATCAAAAGCTTTGGATAAGTCACAGAACACTCCAAGAACATTCTGCGACCTCTCCCAAGCCTCCAATATACTCCTTACAAGTGCAACACCCGCGTCAGTAGTAGATCTACCTCTGGTAAAACCAAATTGTTTCCTATGCAAAAGTTTATTTAGGTTGAAATGAGGCATTAATTGTTCCAGAATAATTTTCTCAAATATTTTACTTAGAACCGGTAATATTGATATAGGCCTATAATTTCCAGGTTCACTTCTATTTCCTGATTTAAAAAGAGGTATAACTTTACTGTATTTCATCAAATCCGGAAATACGCCTTGATCAATACAGTTATTAAATATATCAACTAGATAAGGGGCAATAACGGGTATTATACTTTTAATAACTTTAGTAGAAATACCCCATAAATCACTTGTATTTTTTTGTTTAAGAGATTTAAAACACTTAATAACATCAATAAAACTAATATGTCTAAACTGAAACACGTTATCACACTTAGGTACATATTTCTCGAGCAATGTCTTGGCAGCCACCGTTGAAGAGCTCAAATTAGATGTAGCCACCAAAGGAGCATTAACGAAATAATCATCAAAAATATTAGCGATATGTTCCTTAGATTTTATTAGAATATTATTGGACTTAATTTCAATAATATCGTCACGTAGCCTTTCTTTGCCTGTTTCACGATTTATAACATTCCACGTTGTTTTGATTTTATTATTCGATTTACATATTTTATTTTTAATAAAATTAGATTTGGCTGTTGCACATACCTTTTTGAAGGTTTTAGAATAACATTTAACGTAATCAATAAAACTTTGTGAATGATTATATTTTCTCAGATGATACAATTCATAAAGTTTGTTTCTACTTTTATAGATACCAGTCGTAGCCCAATCACAGAACTGTAACTTCTGAGTAAGTTTCGAAGTTTTTAAGGGAAAAGCCTTATCGAATTCATTCCTTATTAGATTAAAAAGATCCCCAAAAAGAATATCAGGATCATCATGTGTCCATGGGATATGAGAAATCCTATCATCAATGTTTTTTTGAAAATTTTCTAACCTGTTTTCTGTTACTGGTCTCAATTCAATTACTTTGGTTTCATTTTTTACATCTATTTTATATTGTATTTTTAAGCCATAATGGTCAGATGTAATACT